AATCCTAAAAAATTGTTGGAAAAAAAAAAAAAAAAAAAAAAAAAAAAAAGAATCTATTTTACATAATACTGCTCTTTTCAAATTGTGTTTTCATATCCATCACTTTATGGTGTTTAAATCTCAAAAGAAATTCAGTGATGTCTTTACACTCTCCAAAAGACATTAAAAATGTAGACATATATTTATGAGGCATTTTTTACTTTCTGCCACATGAAGAACTTAAATTAATTAATTTTTCTCATAATACAAAAGATTTTAACAAAAAGTACTTAACTTACCTGGCTGTTGACCTTTGTTTGCCTTGAAGAAGAATACAGGTAGTACAACAAAGCCCCTCCCAGTGATGCCGGCCATCTCCTCCTCCTTGTCCAGAACAGACAAGTGTATCAACACGTTTTGGTCAGAAGTTTCAAACTGAATTGTGCCCATAGCATCTGCAATCACGTGAACACTGTAACTGAAAGAAATTTTCAGAAAATCATAGTTTTTTTAGTCTCAGAGGAGCGTTACCGTCGGCCTGTCCATACTTTCCGAAACTGTTAGTTTAACATAATTTGTCTTCTCACCGACATATGAGATTTTTGTCGCTCGGAATGTAATAATCTTGGAATTGCTTCACTGAGAACGCACTGACGGGAACTTCACGGCTCAGTTTTGGAAGTGGTTCTTTTAGGCCGATCAACCGCATCCTCCATTTGCTATCACTGAGAGAGAAGCCGGGCTTAACCACCTCCGCAACAAACGTATAACCAAGCTACAAAACAAAAACAAAAGAAAATTAAGAATGCAAATGTAGCAAAATATTTTCTGGTGCTTTGAGAAGGAAGGTAGAACAAATCTCTGTGTCCAATAAGGTCTGTGTCCACAGACCTTATTGGGCTTGTAAATGTGGGGCACCACTTTGAACATCTCGACTTCCTGTCCCGTGTCGTTGTTAACAACGTGCAGACAACAGTTAGAAAATGGAGACAAGATGATCGGCACCAGCAGCATCTCCTTTGGAACAATGAATACCTCTCTATATAAACAACAAAAACAAAGTGGTCAGCTAGAGATACAACTGAGTAATCATTTTAGAAGACAAAATTTAGAGATGCAACGAGAAATTGCCTTGCAACCAGAATTGACCAATGTTTCAGCTCGACTTGACACTGTTTGGTGATTGATTTATCTTTTTGTGTATCAGGCTTGGTGGTACCAGGTCTGGCTGACAACACCCACTGGTGTGGACACTTTAAAGAGTGGAGGGGATTAAATAAGAAGGACACATTGGTTTATTTAGGAAGTGGAAAAGTATCTGCTAAAATTACACTTTTAGCAGATAACATGAAGCCTACCAAAAAAAGTTTCACTCTATTGTCATGGTGGTGGCTTGTCAGAGTGACTTTGAGTTACCAAACATATAAGACGTATTAAAGGTTGATAGGAAACTGTTTAATTTCCAAACCTAGTGATTAAAATAGAATTGTTCTCTAACCTGAAGACCAAAGCCCAGGACTGGTTTGTGTCCTGGCAAGAGACTGAGTAATCAGCGAAGGCGATTCTTGACAATTCATCCTGCAGACAAGGGTACAGTTCTTCTTCCTCCTCTAAATTATCAATAATGTATCTGGACAGGAAAGACAGAAATCAGAACATACTTAAAAACGCAAAGAAAGCTCTATTATTATTATTAAGCACCATTTCTAAACATTATTCTCAGAGTAAATAAACATTTACACTTTAGCAGAAAGTGAATGAAACCTACTAAGTATATCACATGAATAAAAAGCTACTCTGAAGAGGGGAAGATGCCGTTTTGTTGCCTCTCAGCGTGGAGTAGATGCTTCTGTCAGCTAAGACAAGCACATGCTTAAAAGTTGACAACAGCCAAAAAATGCCCCCTCTGTCCTCCATACACACACTGACTGAGCTTTCAGTGTTCATGCACATATATACTTCCCCAGGCAGCGGGTCATTCGACAGACGCTGCAAGCCGATTGGTACGGGGTGAGTATAAACAGCAGATGGTACCACTGGGAAAAGATGGAACACAATGTGGAAAATACTCCCTGCATGGCCCCCACAGGCTGCCACAGCCAGGAGAGGGAGCAAACTCTGGGTATGCGGTAGATCAGAGGCAAAGTATATGATCACACAATCTACACAATATTCACACACAAAAAAAAAAAAAAAAAACCTGAAGCTGGAATGACGTTATATTTTCTCTAATGTTGGCATTTGCTCTCCCAATCAAAGTCAAGCGTTGATGCTTATCTCAGTAAATTGAAGTATGCGTTTCGATGAAACTAGTTTAAAAGTGTATTTAAAAATTATAACCTCTAAGCAGGTATTAAACATTCTTTTCAGTAAACTAACATTTTTATAATATTATTTTTGGTTGTTTGAAGTAATTTAATCTTCCAGGAAATAAAACAATTATGTTTCCCCAAGCCATAAGCAGAAAGTCATCATAATTAACAGAATTAGAGGCTTGAAAACATCCATCTGTTTTAATTAAAACTTAATATTTACTTACAGAATTTAGTTAAATAAACTTTTCAATAACATAATTTAATTAGATGTGCCTGTATCATTGTGTCTCTATTCCTCACAGCAGTTTCACATTCTAAAAATCTGTCTTTTATTTACCGTAGCAGCAAGGCAGAATGTTTTGCTGGATCTGCTTCAACCTTCTGCCACATTTCTGAAAGGATCTTGGAAGCACGAAGGTTTTCTTTTTTTCCTGCATGGCATAAGAGCACAAAAAAAAAACTAGAAAAAAAGCAGCCACTATTAAGATGTTTATGCAAAAACACAAACCATTGTTATTGATGAACTAGTTCGGGCAGGGCCACAGAAATTGGAAATCAGACTCACTTTGCCAGTCTGTGGGTTTTTCTATTTTCCTTCTTTTATTTAGTCCCTTTAGAAGTATTTTTTTTTATTATTATTTAGCTAAATTAGACATTTAAATTCAGCTCTAAAATTGGCCAGAGTCTCAAAATCTTGAGTAAATATGACATGACACAGTCCAGCATTTATTGGAACTGTTCGTTGGGATGGATGGGGGGTCAAGAAAATGGTGAACAAATCTTCAAAGCCCACTTTTGGCAACTACATAACAATTAGATTAAATTGAAATTTAGTTAGTTGTTCTGGTAGCCGTACGTCTGTTAGGTGAAGTGGAGGTTCCATGACAAAATCCATGACAGAATTTTACACTTCTGTAAAGATCGGGTTACGTTTTTGCCAGTGCCATGCCTCATACTGCGTTTTATCCAAGACTCCCCTGTTATTTCCTAGCCCCCTTATGTGGTCACATTTTCAAAGTAAATGTCGTAAGGTCTGGGTTTTTGGGGACAAGCTGCTTCACATATAAAGAGAGAAGTAGAGAGAAAATATGCCAACAAGAAAGACGTAGGAAAAACCAAAGCATGACAGTCCAGTTTCACACAGATCAAGCAGCTAAGCCTGAGTGAGTGCTGTGGTCAATGGTATTTGACCCCCTTCAACTTTTTCTGGCAGTGCTGGCAGATTCTATAACAATGTAAGTATTCTAGATGTTTTGAAGACTCCAACTACATGTCAACTTTTTTCTTTTTTAAGTGATGCCTTATAGAAGCTACTGTTGTTTCGACACCGACACATATCATACCTGGAGTTGCCAAAACTAGTCTTAGGCGACTGAAATAACAACAAATGTCACCTTCAGAATTTCCTCATTATTCTACAGAGGCATCAAACGTCATATTTTGTTTTCTACTTCTTTCTATAAAAGGATAGTATGAAACAACTAGCTTTGATTGTAACATGTTAATTGGGATCAAACCACACTGAATGTGACTATGATTGCACTGTATCGCAATTAACTGGGTTGATATGAACTGATTTTTTTATATGACGGCACTGTGGCTCAATGTGTACAGTAGTCAATTTGAAATCTGAAATTTGTTGGTTGGACAGTTTCCTTCTGCCTCATCCTGATGTGCACCTGAGCATGCTGTGGTGCACCCAAGAATGCCACCACATTATTGTGGTTGTTTTACATATTTTGAAATATTTTCATGTATAATTTATTCTATTTTTTATTTATTTTTTTCAAAAAATTGACAAATTATATTTTGTTTGCAGTTTGGCATGTTAATCTGCCTGCATATACAGTGCTTTCCTGAGGTTGGGATGGGAGCAGCAGTGGCGAAGCGGAACCTTTGTTTGCCGGGCTTTGTGAGAGCAACTAGCTAAATGTCTTTCACCATTTCCTCATTTACAGAGCTCTTTGTCTTGGTGTATTGGTAACAATGGAAGTCCTGCACTATTTGCGCTTCTGCTTCACAGCTCAGTTTAATAAACCAGGCAAATTTTAACGACGGGTGAAAAGTAAATGCGTTTCTCATATACTTATCTTTACCTTTACCAGGCTTTGAGGCTTTAAGTGCCCTTCGCACCAAATACCCTTTTAATCGAGCTTGCAGAATTGTGACTGCCTGGATTTCTTTGTCTGTTGGCTCCCTGTCTTCCCATGCTTCAGGGCATTTTGTATTTGCTAGAAACAGGACGATGAGAGAAACAAACCAACATGTTAAAATTATAGAAAATGAAAAAAAAATAAAAAAGAATAAAACAGTTCAAATGCTATGTTCTGAAATGGTTTCCCTCAAGCAGATCTGGATTTAGGAGTAAATCCACAGATTATAGCACATATAACAGCTGTTGCAAAGATAAGCTGCAAGAAAGCATGCCATAATTGTGAATTATAAACATATGCAAATGTATAAATTTTATTTGTCAACTTTAAAATGAGACCTACGGATAGAAGGTGATACTTCTACATCAGGGGCCCAAAGTGAGGGGTCAGCAGTAAGAGCTTGAAGTGCAAAGTACTCCTGTGATGTCAGCTTTCTGCCCTGGGCCTCACGAAACATGTGTAACACTGCCAAGTTAAACAGCTTTGTTTCCGGTAAACAAACAAACACAAAGAAACAAATGCATACATAAATGTGTGAAAATAAAAAACTGACTTTGCAACATCATAGTTATGAGAACGACTACCTGTAGGACAATAACTGTTGGACAATTACTTCTCATGCTTGCTAAAAGTTAAACATAGTAATCATTACTAATTAAAGATGACTTGTTACTGCTATTTTTATATACAAACTTTTGTGTATATAAGAAATAAACTCAACAGGTTCTCTGCTAGGGCTATTAGATCTTTATCAACTTATAATTTTTGACACACCAGTCTTTCTCCAATATATATATAAAAAAAACCTAACAGGTGATTTAGTAAAGCACATTAAAGCTTTACCATAGACGGGCTTTTAGGTCGGAGAACTTTAATATAACAAGTTAACAACAGAGAGAGGTGCATATATAGATGGATAATTATGTGAATATCAGGACAAAAATGTGCATAGACCAAACTGACACTTGTTCATAATAGCTGTGACAGTCAGAGTCCCATCACTAATTCCGTTTTTACAGTTCAGCTGTTCAGCCCAGCACTTTCAGCAAGTTTCTCTTCATCATCCATACATATTTGCTGCACAATAAGATCATTGTTGCATGGCATTATGTTCATGTCACATTATGATCGCAAGTTACCTTTTGGTGCTTTCTTGTCCCAGTTTTAAAATAGATGATTTGGGGGAAATAAGTAACTTCCAGAGTCTTTCTGCGTGACAGGAGCTTATGGTCATCAGTAAAGGAAGCGACCACTTTGGATAAGGCTTTGAATATGACCAAGGCCTGCTCATTGAAGCGAACACTTTCCTGTTAAGACAGGACAATAGTATATGTTTTTATTTACTGCTGCCTGTTAAACAAAACTAAACAAAACTAAAATTGATGCAATTGGTGCAGAAATGTAGCAGAAAAAAAGAAGTTTAAACTGTAAACTGTGCTGGCAAACTGAAAAAAAAAAACTGCAATAGTGAAGAAAAGTACATGGACAGCTGCACACATTTAAAAGCTGGAGGGGTTAAAAGAAAATTAATTCCAATACGTTTTAGAGAAAATATTTCAAAAGAAAGTATTTATATTAGTAAATGTTTAAAGAAAAAAATTGAAAAAATGTTTCAAATTCCTCTGGTTTTGTCTCTTTGTTTCATAATTAGTTTTCTGACAAAGAAAATACAAAATATTGCTCGAACAAGTGTTCTTCAGTTCAGGAACAAAATATTGTTTCACTCATGGAGAAATAGACAAACACAAGATTTGTCTGAACTCCCCCAGCTACGTACATGAAAGGATATTTCTATTCTTCTGAATTTTTTTGTTACACACAGTGGTTTTCTTATTTAACTGGTCAAACGTTCACACATCAGAAATAAACCGATACGGTCAGAGGATTTGTCCAGTAAAACGGAAATGAAAATAATCTGTTTAGAATCAAAGGTACTATGTTGTCCAGTTGAGCCACCAACATGATCAGCTGCTTTGGGTCACCTTTGCTAGGCTGGGCATAATGGTTTCTTCATCTCCCAACATGAATTGCGTCTCGCTGCTCAGGTGGATGTGGTAGCCTAGAGTCGAATGTACGTGGAGGGAAAACACGTTGCGCCTGAAAAATGAGAGAAAGTGACAAAATATATTTTTAAAACCGCTCACACTGTTTACTAAACAGACTATAAGGACTTGTTCTACCATTTATTCAATGTTTATTATCAAATATGGACTGGATTACTGAGCATTAAATACAAACCAAAATCAATTTGGTATCGAGTTTACCATTATTTTACTTACACCTTCCTACTTTTTATTTTAAATTAAACATTTCTTTATGCTCCAGAGAAAAACATCTGAAAATCTGAGCATCTTTCTATACAATTTTTCCTAATATCATACTTAACCAAAGATGGAAAATCATCAAAAGCTAATTTCATACTTTTCAACACTGAGTAGGAACCCTATTTTTAAATTTTCCTGAGTATTTTAGACAGATTCACTGCATTCTTGGAAACAGTACTGCATGTTTCCATTTTCCTCTGTGGTAATTAGTGGGTCAACTGATCAGGAGCGCACCAGTCAAAAAGTCTGTCTGCCAAGTTCCCAGCTGAGTTCACAGGGACTGAAGCGTGGAATTGTGCTACCCAAGACCCATTAGCTTTATACAATTCAGCCATCACAGCATTTAGTAAATGGGTGAGCAGTGAATCAGAGTTTGGCAAGTCTACAGAAACAGAAAAGGAGGAAACAAAAAGCAGTGGAACAGGATAAAGAGCAGAACAGGGAGTTTAACACAAAGATGTGCTAGGGCAGTAAATTTCGTAACATAAAAGCATGATAACAGTTCACAGGAGAGGAAGTATTATGGGGCATTGTCAATTGAGTGTTGTGCATGATTATGGCTCAGCAGTAATTGCACTGCTGCACACTTGCTCCTGACCCCAGAAACTAGGCTTTCTCCTTCTAGGCCAAACTATTGCCATTAATAGAGACGAGACCAGATACTTTTTTGGTGGATTTCAGGACAACTATAGTGGGAAAATATATGTGCTCATGTTATAAGAGCCACTGGTAGATTTTTCAATAGCTGTAAACACACACACACACACGCACACACACAAAAAGGAAAATAATGAACCACTTATTTACCTCTGTAGGAAATTTAAAAAAAAAAAATCACATGAAGTATGGATTTCTCATACTATTATTTATTTTGTTTTGATGTACAATTGTATGTCATCCAATAAATTAAGTACTTAACTGATGCCTATGAGAGTGCCTTTGCTTTTATGTTTGTGAGTGCAATTTAAAATTTGTTTGCAGTTTTAACAAATGAGTCCTACCCTGGTTCCAAGGTAAGAACAGCTGTCTTTGAGAAGGTGGTCTTGATAGTGAGAACTGGAAGCTGAGCCTGCAAGCTTGTCCAGGACTGAGGTTGAATAAGAAGCGCTGCAGACCTGTGCATTCCAAATGATGTTTTCTCAACAGGACTTGCTGAAATGGAAAGCATTTCAAATATAATGGTTGTACAGTTTAACATAAATCTACATTACGAAATGTTAATGCAGGTGAACACAAACATTTTTTTTTTTTTTTTAGAAACTTGATATACACACAACACGCAAGTAAGTCGAGCTTCTTGCAGAAACTGCACAGAAAATTATTATTTCCAGTGCGTGTTCATGCGCAGATAAATCCCTTACCCTTTTCACCAATGTCTCCCCAGTGAAGCAAGGCAGACAAACCGATGAGGATCTCGCAAGGTTCCAGGGAGTCGACAAAAAGATAGTAAGTTCCTCTTACCTCTGAACACTGTGCCAAGAGACACACACAAGACCGATATGTCCTTAAATAAAAACTGCAAGAGGAATGAAGCAAGAACAAAGGAAAGCTTTATGGAGGAGTAACTAATGTTGAAGGTAAACTCTTAGCAGGAGAAGGTGAAATGCATATTAAATATTTTCTCAGTGCTAGCTGCTTGTGTTGTTCTGTTTTTGAACACTACGGGCAGTTTTCTAATGATCATTTCACTGATCAATGAAAACGAGCTGCCGCCCAGAAAATTTACAAGGTATTTTATTGGGATTTTCGGTGACAGACCAACACATGGTCTCTTTCTTTAAAGAAAGACTTCAAAGAGAGACTTTGCCATTTTCCCATAGAGACCAGACTTGTGGCGAACAAAAGTAATAGCTGTCCTGTTGACAACATCTCCCACCCAAGCTGTGCATCTCTGCAGGTCCTCCAGAGTTATCGTCAGCCTTTGTCGTCTTCTCTACTTAATCCTGTTTGCCAGGGAGAAGACTTGACTTTTGAATGCAACTGATTGCATTTCATTTCATTTAGGCTATGAGAAATGTGAAATGGATCTTTGTCCAGTCTCATTCTTATTGTTGACTCATCACCAAGGTTCTTAACGGAGGCATGTGTTAAGCCTGCAGGGCTAAATGTTGTTTTAGGTTCTTTCCTGACCGTCCTGGATGAGTCATTGATGAACGGGAGTAATGGTCACTGATGAGAAGGTTCAACACTGCTCCATGTTTTCAGAATTTATGGACAAAAGTTATCAATGTAGTTTTCTCGAGTACCAATGTAAGTGAGCTAGTTTCTTTTCTATTCTCTTGAATGTCTTAAAATTTGGCCACAATATTTTGCTTTTTAAATCTTTGAGTCTACTTTATGTTATGAGGCAGCTTCTATCTCAGTGATATTTTGATCCTACATGTCAAACAAACTTGAGACAAGCTGTGGAAACTACAAATTAATTCAGCTTCCAAAACCAAAAACTTAGTCATAATTAAGTTGATCTAAATAGCTGATCATTTACTTTTTTCACATATGGTCAAGGTTGGTTTGGAGAGCTTTTTTAGTGTTTACTCGTATTATATTTGTCTTTACCTAAAATGCCTTAGGTGATTGGAAACTTTGGCATGTCATAAAAAAAAAGAAAGAAAAAGATCAAATCTATAAAGGAGAAAATAAATTTTCAAAATGTGTGTGTTTGCGTATGTACCTCAGCACTTGCTATATCCACAGATCTATTGGTAGGATATTGACAAGACGTTGCAGAGCCGCTGATACTACCCATATCTTTTGACAGGACAGTGCTCTGATGATAAAGGAACAGTCAAGTTACGGTTATCACAATAATCAGTATTAAGATAATATCCTAATCACAAAAGAATGAAATGTCAGGAAACAGAAATGTTAAAACTGCAGATATTAGTCACTTATTCCGAGATGCTTTTAATTTATTTATTTATTTATTTATTTATATTTTTACCTTGAATTGTGATTTCTGGACATGATGAGAGTACATCTGGGGTTTGTGAAAGACCAACAATGACCTAAAGAAAAACAACAAAGGAAGATTGATTTATTTGTTTGTTTCACCCGACCATTACTTCATGCGCTGTAGTATTTCTTGCTTTCATTTGCATTTGTCTCACTGAAAACATTTTGCAAAGTCATCCATGTCCACCCATGTGGTGAGTAGGGGTTTGACGTTCTTGGATGTATGATCTTTAAGTGAAGTTGATAGTTGATCTGGAAGGAAGTGGATTGAACTTAGGTCAGTAATTCGTCATGACTACAGGAATGTTTGTCATACGATGTCTTTGAAGCACACACACTAAATCATTATATATGGAACAAAATAATGACCTTTTTGAGACGATTAACAGCTGAAATGAGTGGCGCTTTTCAAGTCACAGTGATAGTTCTAGTCTCAAAATGCTGCAAGTAAATGCGTGTGAGTCATAGCAAGTTATCCTAGACTCAAATCATTACAGCAAGTTGAACTGGCCAAACTCCCACATAATGGCACAGTGTAAGTACACATGCACGTCCGTACTCCCACTCAAACTCCCACTATCTGTGCATCCTGTCCAAAGTCACAGACATATGCACACATACAGGCTTCATCTCAAAAAAAAAAAAAAAAAATGCGCACATGCAAACGGTCTACACCCCCCGAGCTCTACTTGAAG